TTGCACTGTATGCTTCCCGGGAAGCTGAGAATTTTTCGGAGTGTTCTATGGTCTGCTGGGGTAATAATATAGTGTAAAGCGCATAGAGCCTGCTGCTGAGCGGGGATGTGCGCTATACAAATGCTATCTATTATTATTATTATTCTTCAAGTGTTGTCTAACAATTTGGCGCAACGGAATCGAATGATTTCACGCTCATGTATTTCTTGCACTGCAGTGTGGATACCATACACACGGCACTCATACTCATATAAACACATACATACAAACAAACACATACGCGCACACGCGCGTGGGTTAAAAAAAAAGCAGCGAAAAACGAAAAGAGCACGCCACACAATCTTGGAAAAGAGGTTCTGCATCAAATTATCATGCCCATATTATGTTCATTGCGTCTCATTCCTCATACAGAAACACAAAACTTTTAAAATAAAAACCCCAACAAACAGGCCCTGACCCCTGCCATGCCAGGTATAAGCACTCTGAGGCGCCCAAGGTATGCCCTGATGGTTCTGCTCCTGGCCGTATCCAACACAGCCCGCCTCCTAAATAACCTCAACAGTGTCGCTGGGGGCGTACATAGATAACACACGTTACTATCAAACTCCACCCATCCCTCCTACACCCCCCCCCCCCCCACCGAACCATTCCACCCAGACCCATGCCAGGCCCACACCTGTAAAGCTCCAATGTATAGTCTGTAGCCAGATGGCTCTTCTCAAAAGCAACCCGTCTCCAAAATCATTCCAGTCGCACCATCAAAAGGGGCGTCCTCCTACCCCCCATCCCCCCATCCCCCACCTTCACCCAGACCCGAGCCAGGACCACACTTGCGAAGCGCCCAAATTATGCCAAGTTGGGCTCTTCTCAAAAACAAGCCGCCTCCAAAATCTTTCCAGTCGCATCATCAAAAGGGGCGTACACAGATAACACACATGACTATCAAACTCCACCCACCCCTCCTGTCACCCCCCCCACCCCCACCTCCACCCAGACCCATGCCCGGGGAACACATGTGAAGCGCCCAAGGTATATAGTCTGTAACCAAACAGCTCTTCTGGAAAACAACCCGCCTCCAAAATCATTCCAGTTGCATCATCAAAAGGGGCGTACACAGATAACACACATGACTATCAAACTCCACCCTCCCCTCCTGTCACCCCCCCCTCCCCCACCTCCACCCAGACCCATGCCAGGGGCACACCTGTGAAGCGCCCAAACTGTGCCAAGTGGGCCCGGCCCCCGCCCGTAAGCCAGAGTGTCGCTGCAGCTACGTGTGTCCCACGGAGATCAACCTGGTGTGTGGCACAGACGGACGCACCTACAGCAACCAGTGTCTGCTCAGGAAGCAGGCATGCAAGTCTCGCGCCGACATCCGGGTCCTCTACAACGGAAAGTGCAGCCCAGGTGCGTTGTCATGGTGTCAAGTTCACACCTCCTCTTCCCCTCTTTCTTCTTCTTTTCTTTTTCCGCGATTTTTTTTTTGTGATTTTTTTTTTTCATTTTTCTTGTTTTTCAGGGGGGTTTTTTTTACCTCCTTCTTCATCAACAGCATCTTTAATTTAAAAAATAAAATAGAAACCGCTGTCTTTTTTTTTACTTACAGAGAAAAGCTCATTTTTATTTGTTTTCAACAAAAAACACGCTTTTTTTCCAATACAATCGCTTTTTTTCCCTTGTTTTTTCAAATGAGACCACTTCTTTAATTTTTTTTCCTCCATTTTTATTACTTTTCTTCTTTCTTTGTTTCCCTCTTTTAAGTTGGGCTGATGAGGAGGTTGTCTTGTGGGTATATTTCTCAATGTGTGACCTACTTAGACCTTGTTTGGCAATTTTTCTTTTTATTTCTAAAAATAGACAATATTTCAGTTTATCGCGTAGAGAAATAATATATCTTTATAAAACTACACTAAATACTCAAGTGCACACGCTTCTTTACTTTTTAGAATTTGCTTTACATTTTTCTTTCTTTTTTTCAAATTGGGTAATCTTTCTTTTCATTGTAAAATGGTTACCCATAACATATTATTACGGTAGAATCTTACTTTTCCTAGATCTAGACCTGACTCACATAAAACCTGGCCAATTTCTTAAAGGCTTAAACAGTTGTGACAAATCATACTCTTTCGGTTGTCTCAGCTTGGTAGCTCAAGGTATCTTTCTATCTCTGCTAACATTGTTCATGAGTTTTCAAAAATAAAGTCTCTATGCTTAAAACGAATGAAAAAAAAAACGATTAAGAATTTCTCTATTTCTCACCTCGAAACTATGCTCTATTATAAAATGTTTTCACTTTTGTCAGTTACGACGAAAATGGAATGTAGAGAATGGAATGTAGAGAATGGGATGTAGAGAATGGAATGTAGAGAATGGAATGTAGGGTGTAAGAAGGAACGATGATAAAGTCACAATAACGACGTTTCTGAAAATGAATTTTTAAAATTATGATAAGAATGAAGACTACACAGTTTAACGTTTTTAGCAGTAACCTTTTTTAGTTATTTTATCTTCGTTTCAGTAAATGTCTGATTTATGGTTCTCCTTCTCGTCTGGTTTCTCCTCTCTCTCTCTCTCTCTCTCTCTCTCTCTCTCTCTCTCT